AATACAAATGACATGAATAAAATAAAGCATCAAAAATAAAGCTGCTGAATCATGGCCGTCGCTTGACGACCCCTCCGGTGGTACGTATGTCGGAATCTCCTACGGATGTCCTCATCAGGTTGTGTGTCAAAATTTGGATGTATAGGGTTAGGGGTGATTATGTTTGAGAGATGGTGCATTTTTAAGATAAGGTAATGATTCATGAAGGTTATTGTAATATATTTAGGTGGTTTTGTCATCTATAATATAGCACAAAAGATGCATAATTAAGGTCTCCATATAATTAATTTGAAAGGAATATAAATGCAAATAGTTCATCTAAAGCTAACTTGGTTAACGATTACGAAGAAAAAGACGTCTTCTAGCACTCTACATTGATGAATGAGAAAGATGGTAAAAAAAAAAAAAGAAGTGAATGAGAAAGATGATTCATGAAGTTCGCTCCAGATAGATGACACTATTGTTGCCAGTGATTGTGTTGATAAAATTGTTGGAGAATACTATCAATGGTATTATGTAAGTGCAAATTTTTTAGCCATTTTTATTGAATATGCATGTGACTTTTTTATTGTCAAATATAAGATTGGTAGAATGGATTTCGATAGGTCACCCAAAAATCTGCTCATCATGCACAAATTTCGATGAATATTTGAATTAGAAATTTTCTTAATCAAATTCAGGATAATCCAAACTCCAATTTTAATCATCTTATTGTCAAAATAAACGTCTCAATGAGATAAATCTATCGAAACTAAAAGTATTCTGATCTGACTCCAAATGTGCTCAACTTAAGTGCTTGAAGCATAATTGAAAGCTTTAGGATATTAATTGGGTGACTAAGTGGGGAAGGAAAATTGGGGGAAGAGGCCGGCGGCTTGGGAGGAAATTTGGGGTGGTGGCCGGCGGCTTGAGTGGCCCAAGGTGGCCGGTGGCAAGGGGTTTTGGGACGGGAAGAGGTGAAAATCTGAGGATTGTCGTTGCCTTGATTCCACTCGCCTCTTTATCTTCAATACTCGATCTCCACACACAATAATCTTTGGACTAAATCTAGAACTCACAAAGAAATATAGTTTTCCCGTCGAACTCACTAAGAGATCTAAGAGAAGTGCACTCACAAAGAGAACAAAGGGAAGTATCTTTCATTCATCAATCAATAATCCCTACAATACAATGATCCAGCCTTTATATAGGCTCATCAAACATAAAGAAAATAAAAGACGACATTGCCCTTGGGCTACAACAAACACTAATTCTCTCATAGGGGTACAAATGGAAAAACAAGCAATACAAATGACATGAATAAAATAAAGCATCAAAAATAAAGCTGCTGAATCATGGCCGTCGCTTGACGACCCCTCCGGTGGTACGTATGTCGGAATCTCCTACGGATGTCCTCATCAGGTTGTGTGTCAAAATTTGGATGTATAGGGTTAGGGGTGATTATGTTTGAGAGATGGTGCATTTTTAAGATAAGGTAATGATTCATGAAGGTTATTGTAATATATTTAGGTGGTTTTGTCATCTATAATATAGCACAAAAGATGCATAATTAAGGTCTCCATATAATTAATTTGAAAGGAATATAAATGCAAATAGTTCATCTAAAGCTAACTTGGTTAACGATTACGAAGAAAAAGACGTCTTCTAGCACTCTACATTGATGAATGAGAAAGATGGTAAAAAAAAAAAAAGAAGTGAATGAGAAAGATGATTCATGAAGTTCGCTCCAGATAGATGACACTATTGTTGCCAGTGATTGTGTTGATAAAATTGTTGGAGAATACTATCAATGGTATTATGTAAGTGCAAATTTTTTAGCCATTTTTATTGAATATGCATGTGACTTTTTTATTGTCAAATATAAGATTGGTAGAATGGATTTCGATAGGTCACCCAAAAATCTGCTCATCATGCACAAATTTCGATGAATATTTGAATTAGAAATTTTCTTAATCAAATTCAGGATAATCCAAACTCCGATTTTAATCATCTTATTGTCAAAATAAACGTCTCAATGAGATAAATCTATCGAAACTAAAAGTATTCTGATCTGACTCCAAATGTGCTCAACTTAAGTGCTTGAAGCATAATTGAAAGCTTTAGGATATTCATTGGGTGACTAAGTGATCTCCAAAACTTGTATGCTTATAGTTAAACATGTGTTTCAATGAGACAAATCTAACATTAAAATTGCTTAATTTCAATATTGTTAACGTATTTAAATGCTGAAAGAATGATATATAATTAAAGGAATCAAGAAAGTGTTTCGGATTTTTGCTATATTTATGGGACATGTCACTCTCAAAATTTATAAATTGGTTCGCAACACGAGAGAGGTCTTTGGCTAGAGTTTCATGAGATTTCAGAGGGCTTGAAGAATGGACCTTTATCAAACCGCTGTCATACGACTACCATCGATTGATAATCATACTTCAATCATTGTCGCTTGACCATTGTCCTTCGATCACCATCATTAAACTATAATCTCCCGAACACTATCACCTGACTACAGTCTCTCTCGAACACCTTCGCCTGAGCCTGATCAACGTAACTTAATTATGGCCCCTCGGCCACCTTCGATTGGTTTCGATCCTTCAATAATCGTAGCTTGACTATAATCCTTTGACCACTTGCACCTGACTATGGTTCTCCGACCATCATCTCCTAATAACATCTATCTATCCTCCAACTAATGTTGTCTGACTACGGCCCTCTAACCAGTGTTGTCTGACTACGATCTCCTAACCACCATTTTCGGACTACAGTCTCTTAACCACTATCACTCTGTTACAATCTCCTAATAATTGTCAACCAACTATATCGATGTTAGTTAACTTTATTGACTATTATCACCGATAGCATCAATACACATCATTGCCTGTAAGGTTGATGCACGACATCAATATTAAGATTTATGTTGAACGTCTTGGTCTTGAGTATAAAGTGGCTCGTAAGGATTCTAAGAAAGATTAAAAATAAGAAGATTTGTTATAAAAATTGAATTTGACTTTTAATAGGACACAATGGAGAAAAAGGATTCATGTAGCCGACCCCACGTAGTGGGATAAAGGCTTGATGTTGTTGTTGTTGTTGTTGTTGTCTTGGTCTTGAGTATCATCTCCTCAAATGAAGACAATTAAATTGACCACAAATGATCTCTTGAATACAACTCTTATACCACAATGCTATCCTAATTGCCACCATATAATTTATTCTATATAGTTTATATCTACTTTATTTTAATGCGTCTTCCCCAATCATAGAGAATGACAATACTTGTAACCTATGATAAATGTTAGTGGAACCATTTCAATAATTGAGCTAGGTCTTGTGATCTTTCCCCTTTTCGATTTTTTCACATAAAAATTTTGGTCTTTTGCAATCGTTTTTTATGTATGCATTGGTTGAATCTTCATATTCAAATCATTAAAGATATGTATGCAGGAGCTATTACTTGTGTTCAAACACAAGGCGGTTTGACCAAGTATTTTCCTATTTTGGTTGGATTACATCAAAGATCAGCTTTTAGCCCATATCTTTTTTCTTTAGTCATGGATGCTCTCACTAGACATTTGCAAGAGGATGTACCTTGGTATTGCTAATGATATTCTTCTTGTTTATAAGACTAGAGAGGATGTTGAAGGTAAACTTGAATTATGGAGGTCAACCTTAGAGTCTAAAGGTTTTCACTTGAGTATATCTAAAATTGAATATATGGAGTGTAATTTTAGTAGCAATAGATCTATTGAGGGGATTGTGACTTTGGGCGATCAAGTCATTAATAAGAGTACACATTTTAGATATCTTGGATCTACTCTTCAGAGTGATGGTGAAATAGATGGGGATATTATCAGAATATCAGCAGAATTCAAGTTGGATGGTTGAAGTGGAGGAATGCATCGGGCTTGTTGTGCAATAGAAAAGTCCCCCTCAAACTTAAGGGAAATTTCTATATGATGGTGGTGAGACATGCAATGTTGTAGGATACCGAATGTTGGGCATTAAAAGAGAAGCATAATACTAAGTTAAGTGTTGCTGGGATGAGAATGCTTAGGTGGATGAGTGGCTTTATCCTTAGAGATAGGATACAAAATGAGCATATACGTGAAAATTTTGGAGTAGCTCCAGTGGAAGATAAAATTAGAGAGAGTCGCCTTAGATGGTTTGGTCACATTAAACGGAAGCCTTCCAATGACCCGGTTAGGAGAGTTGAGGTATTAGATTTGACTCATGTTAAGAAAGGTAGAGGTAGACCTAAAAAGACTTGGTTATAAAATATTAGAAATGATCTTACTTTATTAGATTTAAATGAGAATTTGACTTTTAATAGGACACAATGGCGAAAAAGGATTCATGTAGCCAACCCCACGTAGTGGGACAAAGGCTTGATGTTGTTTTTTTTTTTTTGGTTGAATCTTCATACAATACTAAATAGTGCCAATACATGCCATCCCTTATAAGCTCATATAATTTCATATTTACTCCTCACCTTGACTCATTTGTGCGTCTCCTCGGTTTTGAGTTGGCCTTGAAACATTCAGAGTAGTTACGTCCAAAAATTTTGCGGGAAGAACAGTAGCCATGAGAGGTGAAACCAAGCCACACCTCTGGAATATGAACATTCGTTTCAACTAGAACTCTAGCCATATATCTAAAAAGTCGAATAGTAGTAGCATCCACCTGCAAGGATTTACCAAAACTAAAAGCTAAAGAATATAGGTTGAATTTGCTGAGGCGGTGAAAAAAGAGAGGAAAAAGCTAACATGATAGGATCGATATGACAAAAGTATAGAGGAATATGCTTCTAAAGATAATTCTTTCAATAACATGATGTGGTTAATAAGCTAAATAAATAAGTCACCTATAAAATGTAAGTCTAACATTAATTTAAGTATAATCTCAAGACTTGGATGAACAAAAGAAAACTTATCGATAATAAAGAAAGTGAGTGGAATTGTTAGCTCAAAATCTTAGATTTAATGAAAATAAAGTAGGTTTAGCATGAAAAACAGAGAGCATCTTGTGTTGATGTATTTATGAACCTTACTAGAAAAACTAAGTGAAATAGGGACCATTAAAAAAATTGGTAATGTGCATTGAATTCTTGAAGTGTTCATACTCTAATCTTGCAACAACTTTAATGAAAAGTTGAGCAGAAGTGGCATGAGAAGTAGCCACGGATGCTCTAAAAGTGGGAGCTATAGAGGAAACTGGGGCCATCAGAATAAATGGTGGTGATGGATTAACCTCAACAGGGAGAACATATGAACCATAAATCGAGGAGTTGCTGATGAGTGCGTAGTGAGGATCGAGTTGCAAGAGGAGCAAGGAGTTCGGTCACTTGTGGCGTTGATCTAATTAAGTTGATGAAAGTAAGGTAGTTGGTAGGAGTGATTGAAAATATATGTGGTGAGCGAAGAATTGAATTTTGGTTGAAGACTGGAATCAACGAGGACACCATTCAATCATTCACGAAGAAGGCCATAGGGTTGAACCATATCCTATGCTTAGGAAACTAAAACCGAAAGTGTTCGCTACCAAGGATAGACCCTTCATATGAATGATCGAATGATGCGTTGTAGACAACAAAGAGTAGACTCGGCATGAGAGAGCATGTTGCTGAGGGAGAACACATCTAAGTGTGGGATGTGAGCTCTAGAGAGTGCATGTGATGGGTTACTAGGTTTTGTCCGTAAGGGGAGGCCTAAAGGTGAAGGGACGCATGTGAGGTGTTAGGGCTCCGATTTAGGTTGACCCAACTAATTAACCTTTTGATGCCTAAGGTTTGTTCGAATTGTTGATTTTTTTTTTAGGGTTGAGATTTCAGTCACCTTACACTTTGGTGCACTATTTTGAAATTCTAGCTTATTGGTTTTGTAAGGTTTTATTTGGCCTTGCTTTTTTCCATGTTTATAATTTTGAGAAACGGTTTTGATTGTTTGGGAAATCCTTAAAAAAAATTCCATTTTGTAAATGTATTATCTTTTAATGAGCACTTTAACTCCATTATGGAGTGACTCGCATTTCTATTTGAGATTATGATGGAGTGACTCAGATTTTGTCTTATATATGTTATTCATTTAACAAGTTTACCTGCTCTAAAAAATAAAACTGATTCCGCCTCTATTTATATTAAATTATTCATATAATGAGTGTGCTTATCCTAAAAAATAAAGCTAGTTTTGTCCCTATGTAGAATGTTTGTGTTTCCTAATATCCATGGAGACACATGACACCTTTATAAAAAATGTTTGTGCTTCATAATATTCATCTCTCATGGTTCCGAATATATGCATCCATGGATTTGCTCATGTATTCTCTGATGACACACTAGCTATAGAACCATCTTCCCAATTTTATTTTGTCAGGTACATAACGATTAGCTTTTAATGCTTGTCGGCTAAATACTATAAAGTTTTGGCAATAATGAAATGTGCTTCTTTCAAGGTCTCAGTTGCTCGACACATTTTGACTCCATGTCCATGGCTCATATAACTTGAATTTTACTTCATGATAAGATGTAGATTTGTTCATCTCAAAAACTATGTTGATTTGTGCTTATCCTGAACTAATTGCAGGTTGAATCAGTGTCATGTTATTGTAGAGTGGATGCAGGCCTGAAAACTGTGGCTGGGGCCAGAAAACTTGTTCCTGGGGCAAAGCTATGCATCCAACCTGATATTCTACCTAATGGTCCCAAGCCTAGAAGCCAACGTAGAGGGAGGTCCAGAACACAAGCTCCTTTTCTTCCTGGCCTTCCTGATGACCTTGCCATTGCTTGCCTCATTCGCGTACCTAGAGCTGATCACAAAAACCTTCGGTTGGTTTGCCGAACATGGAACCGCCTTCTATCTAAAAACTACTTTTATTCCTTAAGGGCGAGTATGGGCATGGCTGAAGAGTGGGTCTATGTTTTCAAAAGGGACCGCGACGGGAAAATATCTTGGCATGCATTTGACCCCATCAATCAGCTTTGGCTGCCACTTCCTCCTGTTCCTGCAGAGTATTCTGAGGCTCTGGGCTTTGGCTGTGCAGTTCTCAACGGCTGCAACCTTTACTTGTTTGGTGGCAAAGATCCACTTAGAGGCTCCATGAGCCGAGTTGTCTTCTACAATGCAAGAACAAACAAATGGTTTCGAGCTCCTAGTATGCTATGCAAGCGCCATTTTTCAGGATCCTGTGTCTTGAACAACTGCCTTTATGTTGCTGGTGGTGAATGCGACGGGATCCATGGAACACTTCAATCCGCCGAAGTATATGATCCAAACCGGAACAAATGGGCATTTGTTGGTGAGATGAGCAATGGAATGGTGCCCCTCATTGGAGTTGTTTACGAGGAGAAGTGGTTCATTAAGGGGCTCGATTCGAACCGACAGGTCGTAAGCGAAGTTTACGAGCCCTCTTCGAATAGCTGGTCGGCTGTTAACGATGGAATGGTGATAGGTTGGCGTAATCCAAGCATTTCAATGAATGGTAGGCTCTATTCCTCAGACTGTAGGGATGGTTGCAAGCTTCGTGTTTATGATGATGCCACAGATTCATGGAGGAGGTTCATGGACAGTAAGCTCCACTTAGGGAGCTCCCAGTCCTTGGAAGCTGCAGCTTTTGTCTCATTGAATGGTAAGCTCGCTGTTATTAGGAACAACATGAGCATCAGCCTTGTTGATGTTTCAAATCCTGGGATGAGCTTTGAGACCAACAGTGCCCATCTCTGGGAAACCATTTCTGGTATAGGCCAGTTGAAAACTTTTATGTCAAACCTGTGGTCTAGCATTGCAGGTAGGACTGGACTCAAGAGTCACATTGTTCATTGTCAGGTCCTTCAGGTCTGAAAGGTGATTTTTCTGCAAGTTTCTTCGTCCGCCCGGCTTGCCTTTGACTTCTGAAACAGGCAAAGAAATTTTGCCATGGCTGTTGGAAAAAAGCTTGATCTCCATCTCTGTAGGTTCATGACTGTCTTATTTAAGTTAAAGGTATAAATTCTTTGCAGTGTTGTCTTTTTGAGGATACAAAAGCCTTAGTTGCTCACTGCATCAGCAGTGACAGAGTGCAGAATGTGAGAAATTTTCAGAAATGTCTGCAGCTTGTGGTGATAATCTGGATTGCTGATTAGAGGTTCAAAATCAAGAGGTTTAAGATCAGAACATTGAAAGGAAAATGAAGAATATGATGTGTATCATTCAGTCTGTTTGGCACAGCTGCATTGTAGCTTTCCTGAGTCATTTGGTTCAGTTATTTTTTACTGTGATTAGGATTCCTTGCATTTGAAATATGAAATAAATAGCCGTTACACGATTAGGTTTTGAATCTTTTGCTAAGTTCACGAGTCCATACAGTGACTTCTTACATCTTGGAAAATCTAGAATGTTCAAGACCGTAGAAGCTAAATTTAGTTTCACGCCCAACTTTAATTCCACTTAGGCTTCTTTTGGATGACTTCTCAAAGCAGTTTTTTAGTACAAAAATTAATTTTTTTTTCTACTAGAAAGCTACTTTAAGAAACAGAAAGAAAACTATCTCAAACGAAGCCAAGTTCATACTCTTTAATCTAGCATTTAAAATGGGTTTCAGAGTAGGATTAAAAAAAAAATCTTCAACAAATTAAATGATGCACTGATTAGTCATTAGTTTAACTGCAGTGATTTGCTTCACTATGCTGCTTGTTATGGATAAAAAAACTAGAAAGAAGTATAGTAAAGAATTCATTGTAATCAAAATGTGATGAGTTTTCTTGACTAAATATATACTTCTTTATAGCTTAGCAACTAGATGGCTTAGCAGAAATTAGGCCATAAGATTAGGAGTTTGAAGGCTTCGGTATGGAAAATAGGTGGCTGTAAGATTGGGATTGCAGCATATTAGCTGGTGAATTCAAATGCATGTAGGTGATGTTTGATCTCACTAGTTGGCGAGTTTTATGAATATAACCTGAAAACCTATGATAATGGAGAGAGAGAGAGTATATTAGATCAAGTATTTGTTGTGTAGGTAGCATTGAATATACGGAATATCAAAATGTTCATTCTCATCATTTATTTATAAAAATTGAAGGCTACATAAAAAGCTATATCAATAATGGAGTAAAACATATATATCACTCAATGACTCTATAAACCTCCCTAGACATGTCTCACATTTTGGTGGCTAAATGGGAAATGACATTCCTCGAACCTGATTTGTTTATGAGTGAGCTCAATAGAATCTTGTGCATATATATCAGTAAGTGTGGGCGAGGTGGTGAGTCCTGCATATAGAGAGTTGATGTGGGCTAGCACCCTGGAGTCGCTGGCAAACCTGTGTTGAGCTCTACGGTCCCTTATTGAGGGAGGCGATTGAGCTTAGGTTGCGAGGTTGACAAGCTCCAAGGCCAACTGATAATGATAGGGCGAGTTGAAGATATCTTGAATTATTTCATTCTTTGTAGTTTAAATGGCAAATGGAATAAATGGTACTCCACTGTGAAGGATGATGAGCAGTGTTGTAGTTTAAATGGCGAATATGATCACTCTCTAAAGAAGTTTACACAAAAAGAGAAAATTATGAAGATGCCACTCAAATTAAACATATTTATACATCTAATACCATTCTTTAAAAAAAAAACTATCAAATTCACGCATTTGCACTTGTCATGATCAAATTATTACGATTTTAACCTAAGTTTAAATATGAGCTTGAGTTTTTCTATGATTTTTAATATTTGAGTGATAATTTGATGAATGAAGGCACGAAATTTTTTATGTTATTTGGAAAATTGTCCAAAAAATATATCAAAAATTTGATATGTTAAATTAGTTGATGAAAATAAATGAATTGCAAATCTGGGTATTAATGTGATAATTATTTTCTTTTTGAAATTCAAATCAAATTTCTTTAGATGTAGAATCGTATAATTATGTTTAGGATTTAGTGATACGAGAACCCAAAAAACGGCGGGTCGGGTCGGCGACTTTTCTTAATGCTACGTGTCGCTAAAATATTGGTGGCCGAACGTAGAGGAGCGTACGTTCACCGAACCAAATAATTGTTCATTCCACTATGAAGGATGATGAGCAGTGTTGTAGTTTAAATGGCGAATAGGATCACTCTCTAAAGAAGTTTACATAAAAAGAGAAAATTATGAAGATGTCACTCAAATCAAATAAATTTATACATCTAATATCATTCTTTAAAAAAAATTAACTATCAAATTCATGCATTTGTACTTGTCATGATCAAATTATTACGATTTTAACCAAAGTTAAAATATGAGCGAGTTCTGCTACGACTTTTGATATTTTAATGATAATTTGATGAATGAATGTACGAAATTTTTTATGTTATTTGGAAAATTGTCCAAAAAATATATCGAAAATTTGATATGTTAAATTAGTTGATGAAAATAAATGAATTGCGAATTTGGGTATTAATGTGATAATTATTTCCTTTTTGAAATTGAAATCAATTTTCTTTAGATGTAGAATCATATAATTATGTTTAGGATTTAGTGACCTAATAAGAATATTTATATTAGGGTTATTTTAAAATAAATTAATTTTTTTAAAATAATCATAAAATTCAATAAGAAATTTGGATTTTTGTGGTGTTTGTTTTATTATGTTTAATAACATCATGCCTTATACGTCATTCTTTTAATTTTTTTTTAAATAAACAAGATTGGGTTAGCTTATGGAGAGTTTAGAAAAATCTGCATGAGCTCTTTGTGGTTAAATATTTGATCCTCTTATTTCCTCCAATTTGTCAGAGGTAAGGGTGTAAAATTGGGTTAGCATATCGGGTTCTAATTTGACCAAAGTGTGACATGATATGAATGTATTTGACTTGAATTTGATCCGTTTATCGTCCGGGTAAAAAATGTTTAACATAAATTTGACTCGAATCGAACCCGACCATCAACTTGTTTATCATATAGATTCTACTATTTTTTATGCGTGACTTTTCTATCAAATGCAACCCGTTTCTTCAAGAAATGACTCATTTTACCCGAATAAAAATAATAATCAAGTCAATTTCCAGTTCTTCAAAAAAATCTTGACCCGCAAAGATCTTCAACTCAAACTCGATTCGAAAATTAATCAAGTCATCCGGGGCCCAAATATTCTTAGTGAAATCCCTAGGTTCATGATGATTATTTTTAACTTAAACAATTAAATTATATAATGAAATTAACCTTTTACAATTATATACAAATTAAAAGGAGGTAATTTTCGTATATTATTATTTTTGTATTGCTAAGGTGCAAAAATATTATATTGCTTGAGAATACTCTTTGAAAACAAATTTAAATTTGTAGGGCAGCTCCAAATAGAGTTGTCAAAATGAGTTTTTAGGTCCAGTTCAAATCCAAATTGACCTGCCCTCAATTGATCCAACTCAAATCTGACCCAATTACACAAATGGGTTAGAAATCTAACCAAGACCTAACCCTCCCCAAACCTTGGCCAACTTGACCCAACACATTACTAGGGTGAGTGCAGAGCAAGCAAGGTCGTGAGGTACGAGGAGGCTAGCAAAGGTGCGAGCGCTACCAGTGCGGGTGCAAGCGCAGGGGGATTGGGGAGAGGTAGGCAGCAAGTGAGCCACCTGTCACACCCCAGTTTGACTCACCCTCTACCACGAATTGGAGTATAACAGAGAAAGATTTCAATGTATCAAACTCCACACTTAACAACAGGAAGCATGTAATATACCTTATTGAACCTCAACATAATTAAAACAAATACATAGCTCTACTAAAACTTTTAAGATTCATTTACATACCCAAAAGTCTTTACATCTAGCATTCAGATCTCGCTTTAAATCTCTTGCACCCCAAAACGTACTTACATCAAAAGAACTGTCACCTCTTTTATTGTCCCAAGGGCACCTTCCCCTTTCCTGCAGTACAACCACTGCTAATGAGTTTGGCTCAATGAAATAAGCAAGCAAGTTATAAGAAATAATGATGAACCATTAAGAAATACCATAACTATGCTAACATAATTAAAACACATATTGAAATGTCATATTGAGCCTGAAAGTGCCTAGCATTATTATTTATCTTACCAAAATTATTCAACATCTTTAAATAAGTTATAGAATGGTTATAAGCTTTTGCACCATTCAACTTTCCAATTCAAGGTTGAGTCTAATTTTTCAACTTTTAGAATGGAAGTTGTTCTCTCATTCAAGGTTGAGTCAAATTTCTCAACTTCTAGAATTAAGAGGGTAGGCTTACCTCATCAGGTCTTTCGCCTTTCCTTGTACGGGCCTATCCCCCATATAGAACTTATTTCACCTTTTATATAGTCATCCTTTTTAGCCCTAATGACATATGCTTTTGATGACATAGTTGCACTTTAGCTGCCATTGAGCTACATTTTAGTTGCACTTTAGTTGCGCTTTGGTTGTACTTTGGTTGCGCTTTGGTTGCGCTTTAGTTGCACTTTGGTTGCGCTTTAATTGCACTTTTTGCTCATTCACTAGTTTATGAATATTTATCCTTTTATGCTTACGAAATCATTAACATTGCTAAAGATTACCCTTTACATAAACAATTTCATACATATACAACCATATTCATACAAAATAAATTAGAATACATGTGATCATAAACATAATAAAAAAGAAGTGCAATAATAAAACATTTACTAATTCTTATAATCTTGTTTGGGTATCTCATCTCGTTCTCTAAGGAAGTCGGGTCAATTCGTTCTCCTAAAGTACGCTTGCCTCATTTCCTTTTTTATACAATCTAAATCATAATTGTTGATCATTCAAATTTGCATTCAAATAACATATAATAATTTATATGAAAATCTTATAAGTTTACCTCAAAGAAGTTTTTTTTTCATTCACCCCAATGTGACCTCTCTTCTCCTAAGTCTCCTTTCTTCACTTTCCCTCCTCACCTTTTTTTTTTCAACCCAAAGAGTAACCAGTTACATCAACTTAGCCTGCATCAGTTTCCACCACTCTTCCGCACAACCAGCTTCAGCATTTTATGAATTCCAACAACTAGATTTCAAAAATTTATTATCTGAAATCCTCCTTCAAAGAATCTCACAGCAGCAGCCTCAACAAGTGGCTCCCGCTACTCAGCTTGAAGCTGGCTTCCGATGTCCATGGAGGGACGGGTAGGGAAAAGAAGCTAATGTCTCCACAAAATAAATCACACTATAATAACCTTTCTAATTCCACTAAACCTTCTCAGTCATTCTCAGCCCTATAATTTCCATCAGCTTTATGCATGTCGGTTTAAGTGTCATTGCTACAGTAATTGAGTGAAATTGCTACAGTAATTGAAGTGCATACTATTAAATAATTTACTAATACTTAGCCTTTAATCTAGCTGTCATTTAAACCATAAACTGCAATTAAATACAATCAATTAAACAATTAGTTTCATAATTTATAGAAGTAAAATGCTTGGAATTAAAGTGGAATGTATATAAAAATAAGCTAATATTTAGAGGAAGTTGAAGCTTGCATTATTTTAAATATTTTTTAGAACATTATAAGTTATTGATGCGGGCAAGAGATCTAGGGAGCCTATACCCCTCGCCCACAAAGGAGGGCACGACGGACTTCTAACACGAACTCGAGAAAAATGACGAAAAGCAATAATAGGGAAGAACAAACTCTTATATTTCAAAATAAAACTAAATAAAATAAACTAAGACGACAACTTACAAACAACACGACAGACACCCTAAAGTTGCTGCACTTAGAGAAGAAGGTGCAGTAACAATTAATAAATTGTTGTCAATTAATTGTTATTCATTAACTATAATATTAACTATAATACTAAACAGTTATTTAAAAGATACCTATTCATAGACATTTAAGATATATTGATACCAAAATTACTCGAAATTCAATATCAAATTTGATGAAAATATTTTTGATACTTTCTATATGTGAGAGAATATAGGGGAAATTTGTATGTTTACCTTTTTGGACCAAAATTTTGGGTATTATACCACCAGTATGGGTGCGTGTGTGGGGACGCGGGACGAGCTGGGCTGCACGGTGGTCATTTTCGAGTTAGCGGTTTGACTTGGACACAACCCGATTTTTCAAACGGGTCAGAAATTAGAATCAGAATTGACGTATTTGTTAAACATAACGAGTCAAAATCGGATTTTTCGGGATAAATTTTTAGGTCATGTCAAAAATTGACACACTTAACTCCAAATGCTAGCCAAATGGAGAGCTTGCTCAACCCTCACCAAGTCCATGAAAGTAATTTACTAATTTACAAATTTATAACCAGCTAATATTGAAAAGAACAATTTCACCCAATTAAATATTTATAATTGTTGCACCTCGGAATATTTTGTTTTATTTTGAACTAAAAACAAAAAAATTTACCTGACTTGAAAATAATTCCACCATTATTTTAATATAGGAAATTAACTTTTTATTCATGCAATTGTAAAAAGAAAAGAAAATAAAAAGCTCCGTCGTTTAAATCCTCTGCCCTCTCTTCATCATCTTCTTCTTCGATGCAATCCCCTTACTCCTCTTCTTTCCTCACCATGAAACCTTACCATCTCCTCCGCTTCATCTTCCTCCTCCTCTCCCTCTCCTTCTCCTCCTCCTTCCCTATAAACATCTGGCCCAAACCAACCAACATCTCATGGCCCATTCCCCACTCCTCCCCTCTCTGCCCTTCCTTCACCATCCACTGCTCCCAATCCTCCCACCCCCACCTCTCCCGCGCCATCTCCCGCTACACCGATCTCCTCCTCGCCGACCACCACCAGCCACTCCTCCCCCCTTCCCTCCCTTCCTCCCCTCACCCCATCTCCTCCCTCTCCATCTCCATCTCCAACCCCTCTGCCCCTCTCCACCACGCCGTCGACGAATCCTACACCCTCTCCATCCCCCTCTCCGGTCCCGCCTTCCTATTCGCATCCACTCCCTGGGGTGCCATTCGCGGCCTCGAAAGCTTCTCTCAGCTCACTTGGTCTGCTGATTCCCAGATCCTCGTCGCCGCCGGAATCCACATCTCCGATCGTCCCCTGTTTCCGCACCGAGGCTTGCTTCTAGACACTTCGAGAAATTTCTTCACGGTGGAGGATATTATGAGGACGGTCAGGGCAATGAGTTACAATAAGATGAATGTTCTTCACTGGCATATCACAGATTCTCAGTCGTTCCCGATTCTTCTTCCGTCGGTTCCGGATCTCGCAATCAAAGGCTCGTATGGGCCGGAGATGAGGTACTCGCCGGAAGATGTCCGGCGGATTGTTGACTATGCCATGGGCTATGGCGTTCGAGTCATGCCGGAGATTGATGTGCCTGGTTAGATTTCTTAATTCCTGTCTTATATGTTTCCTGTTCTGCGTTTAGTACTAAAATTAAACTCTCAAACAAACTCCAATAAAGTGCTTAAATAAGATCGGGAATTTAAGCGCCTAGTAAAAATTAGGGTCATCAAAATGTGGTGGTGGGTCTAGTTTCGGTCTATCCAGACTTGATCTGATTTGAATCCAATCCGTTTTTTGCAAACGGATAAATCAGAATCCGACCGCTTTAGGTCTGGGTCAACCCGAACCCGACCCGTTTCAAGTATATTTTATTAATTTTTTTATTTAATTCAATTTATTTAAACCTAAATCAAATTAAAGTAAGATTTACTTCAATCAATTTAAAATAAATCAAGTTTAATTTAGTTTTGGTAATATGATTTATTATTTTTTTTTAAAATAGCAATTACTTATTTCATAACAATCTATTAAAACCGTCCTAAAATAATTAAAAACTGGTCAAATAAGATTAATTGATTTCAAGTTTCTGGGTCAACTCGAACCCGACTAGGTTTTACAAATGGGTCAAAATCCCAAACCCTGAACCCGAAATTTTCTGGTCGGGTTTGGGTCAAATTTTTAGCTCATGTTAAATATTGACACTTCTAATAATATAAGATTGGAGAATTTTTGCAATATTTAATCTAAATTCTGGCAAATAACCAAAATGATAATTTTAAGGCTTGGTTTCGAGTGAAATTATTATGTCCGAAGTTCGTATATGACTGTGTATATTATGTGCATAGTATATATACACTCACAGTCCTGATGGCACTTCTTGACCGAACTCCACACATAATAATTTCTCTAGTATGGGACAGTTTTTGGCCATAATTTTTTTGCTGATTAGAGAAAAAATTTGTGCAATAAACTTTCTATAGAAAACAATACGAAAAGTATTTCAAATGAATCATAAATTCACCGCAAATTTTTTTTTTGTTGCTTTAAAAAAAATTCTGTGCTAAAAAGTTGTTATATAAAAGAATGAGAAAATTATTTCAAATAAGTTTAAATTATAAAAAAAAAAAGATCAAGAAATTCTAAATCTAAAAAGTTTAAATAATTTGTCCATATTTTAATTTTTAAAAATAAAAATCTAGTTTTTTGGACTTCTGGTTGATTTATGTTCATTATGACGTCTTTTCGATCAGGATCTTCTTGCGTAATTTTTTTATTAAACCACATTTTCGTTCCATTTTACCTTAATTGTTAGATCCAGACTTCGATCGTATATAAAATAAAATTGGAAAAGTATTACATTGGAAAAGTATTACATATAAAAAGTAAAAAAATTATGCTGCACATGCCCCGT